TATATGTACCTAATTGACTCTCATGTTTTTGGGTATAACACTGTAAGTCTGTAAAACAAAACCGTATCTAATAATATCTAGACGGTTCTCCGGTACCATTAAAATTATATTACCACAAATTGTAGTCTTCATTTTAGTGTAATAAAAATGTTCCCTTCTTCTGCACCTACCTCTTTGCATTGTTTAATATGGTTGCACACGTATAGGTATAATATATTATACCTGACCTCTCCGTATGCCCATGTTATGTTACTACCTACGTAAATTTTCATTAAAACTGCTTGTGGTCGGCTAAAGAAAACTAAATCTACCTGAAATTCACAAGTGCTAACATAGTTAACTTGTTTATTTATGTGCTCGACCATCGAGATTGGAATGAAATGCAAATTACATAAATGGATAAGTGTATGGAAATCATTGCAATGTTTGTACACCACTGTGATATTATAACTTAACAAATAAATAGTTAAATATTTCTAGTATATATGTATTACTTTATAGCATGATCATATTCATAAGATTATTTAGATTATACATATTAGGATGGATGAACGAATTTCTGGGGCTTACATAAACATAAATGATTAAAATAAAACTTTTATTAGGTACTTATAAGTTATAAATATTATTTTTTCATTTGTTATATACTTATATCCAGTAACATTGTGTCTGAGCAAATATAGTAATAAATAATTTATATTGAAAACTATGATAAAAACATAAGAAGTGTGCTTAGTTCATAGATTGAATATTTCTTTATATTTATAACAAATAAATATAAATTATTTAGTTTTAAAATGCTAATAGATTCCATTATTAATTATTTTATCAAAGAAAACTATGTAGTCATACCTGGTTTAATTGAATTAATTGAATTATTTAAAAAAGTGATAAATAAGTTTTAACTTATAATATTAAAGTCTTCATACTTCATTAAATTTGACTGTCTTAACCTAAAGTTTCATGAACTTATAGTAGGTATTGAGAACTTTGTGTGATGAGTGTTTACACTAATTGGTTTCATCATAAAAGTTTTACTATAAGTTTATTACCTGTAAATAAACAAAAACTACTTGTTGATGACATTATTAGTGAAAGTCAGAAAATATTAAAATATATTTATATATTATAATGACTATAATAGATATATTAGAAAATCTTAAAATTCATCGGTCATAATTGTTTAAAAAAAGCTTATCATATTATTTTAGTTGTGGGAAAAATGTGTGTGTTCTGAAATATGTTCAACTGTTCAATCTTAAATACATATAATACAAACTAAACTAGCCAATACGTCCAATAAATGGTTTCTATATTGTGATTCAAATTATGAAATCAAAATCAAATATTAATATTCTCTTGAATTATAAATACCCATTCTAAAATATATAAAATAATAATACATAAATATTTATAACAAATAATATAAGTCTTATCCATGCAGCATGGTAAAAACCACTATATTATCATAATATGTATTAATGAATTATGAAATGAGTTATTTTATTTGTTATCAACTTCTAAGAATATCCAAATGTTTATAATGTACTGCCAAGGTGAAACTATACTCATATTATTATTAAGTTTAACAATAATACTCGAAATCTATGGAATAATATTTTTGAACTTTGAATGACACATTTGATTATATCAAAAATTAAATTAAATTATATTTAGAACATTATAAAAATGTATTTAATTTTTAAACTGTTACAAAATCACTTATGGGACATTTTCTGAGGAACAAAAGCAAAAAGGTTTTTGCTGCTCCTGTATCTTGCCTATCACCAATTAGCTCGCACCTGAATGCATATTATATTTATTAAAATTGTCCAAATAACTTAACAATACAACACATTTGAAATATTTATTTACTCGCCAGGTCATTAGTTGTATGTAATGTGTAATAGTTATTAGTTTGTAGGTATGTAAAAAAATCTTAAGAGAGCTTTTCAAAAATAACAACCTATTAAAATTGAAATAAACATAATAATATCCAGTTTAGTATAAAAATCTACAATGTATGCAAAAAGTCATCTATAACTCTATAAATGTTATTACTTATTTTTTATTTTATAAATCTTAAACTACACCAATAACGGCCACTTAATAAACAAAAACGAATCATCCAACTATTTACATTATATTTTGATGCATATCAAATAATTTTGAATAATTTACTTATTTGTTATCAAACATTTTTATAACATTAAAACTTTTTTTAATGCCAATAATCATGTAAAAGAATTTCTCAAATGACACTGTAAAAAATGTCATACACAATAATAAAACTTATTTTCAGTGATCACAATAATTGAAAAACAATTAAAAAATTAGAAACTGTATAATACTTCATTTATTTCTATAAATTACAATTCTAATATTAATTTACTTAATGTAACAAGTTATTAGGGAAAGAATCGATACTCTTTGTGATGAACACTTAACCTAAATAATTAAAAACCATTATATTATCTTTCTTACCTACCTATAAATATATTTTATTAAAAACATGAGATTGATTAGTCGTATTTAAATTAGCTATTTTATTAGTGTTTTTTAATTAACATTAAATAGATTGCAGTAGGTAGTCAGTTCATTATAATTAAAAATTATATGAATATTTACTATATCTATGGTATCTATATGCATATAGTACCTACGTAATTCAAAAGTTTACAATTTGAAATTAACATTTCATTACACATGTTTAATTCGTTAAAACATTTAAAATCTGACACTATACATATTCTTAAATGTTCATATATCACACAACAATTTAATAAAGTACCTAATGAAATTATATTATTAACATTGTTATTTTGTTGTAGAGAATGAAATACTTTTTGAGTTTTGACGTATGTTATTTCTGTATGGTTATTAGTTAATAGTTCAATATTATAAGTATCCACGGTTTTTTCAGAATTTGTGTCGAAATTATTTTTATTTTCTTATATTAAAATATAATTTCAATTAAATAAAAAGCGTTTGCTTCTAACATAAAGAACTTTCATAACTCGTTGTATAAAAAATACACCAAATTCATAATATAAAATATACAACAGAAGCTCTTGCAAATTAAAAAAGTTTGTTCTTCCACGCAATTTGATAACTTACATATTTTCTAAACGATAATATGAACTCGTTAATTAAAATTAAAAAAAATTGAATTTTAATTGTTGATATAATTATTATATATATTGAAAAAGTTTGTTTTTAAATTATCGAATGGCATATTCATAAATAAACTTTAAAAAACCTGCAGTCACAATTATTGTCTTCCTTGTCATTTAGTAGTACTGTCACACATATTGTGTTCAATTTGAATTTGTTGAAAAATAATTCGGAGAAAAGATGGTCTGTCAGCCTATATTTCCAAGTTTTTACTTTTTATTACTATACTGGATGATTCACAAATCTCTCTCATATCCCTCTTTTTTGTATAATTATAGTTACTCAAAATATGATTTTTGGAAATTTTGGAATAAATGAGATTTGTCGTACCATTCACCTGTTGTGATACAAATGTTTTTTTTTACATGGGTAGGTAATACCTACAATTTTTAGTTTAAATTATTGAACAGATGATTTTTTTTTTTGATTTAGGTATCTAAATCAATATTCGAAGGTGCAGTTTTTAAGTTATTAAACATTGTGTATGTACTAAGGATAATATTCTATGTTTCTATGATACTATAGTATGGGCATGATTTAAATGTATAAAAATTTAATATTTGTTTGTTTTTGTTCTTATTAATTATTATTCAGACAATTATAAATAATTTTAAAATGTTGTAGTTTGCATACCAACTATATTTTTAAAATCGATTAAAAAGCAAACATTACATTTTCTTTCTTTTTATTAGAATCGTTTATCTATAATTTTTCAAAAATATAAACTAATCATTAATACATATTACAAGGTAATAACTAATAAGTAACATGATAATAATATATTTTATGTTATTAGTATAACCATAGGTATTATATATTAACTATTATATAATAATAATTATAACTATAATATTAGCACATATAATATTATTATTTACGACCTATAATTAATTTAAAAGTGAATGCCGACATAGTACATCCGTAGGAGGTTTGAATAGGTTGTTGGTATAAATAGCTTAAAATTAATCAAAATGTTTTGAACATTCCATTAGAATAGAAAATGGGTAATCTATTAGGTAATAGATAATTGTTTAAAGTTTCAGTGATTTATATTTTTGAATAATAACAATATAACAAATGGGATAAATCGTAATTATATGTTTGTCGTTTGAATGTCCAATTTTGTTAAAACTTAATAGTTCAATATTGCTTATAAAAAATGCAAGTGAATTTATGTTGGTTTTATTTTTAATTCCTGTTAGGACAACTTGATGATCTAGGTATTATATTCTCAAGGTTTTTGGCGGAGCATAAACATTTTAATCAGCATATTGTATAGAAAAAAATAAAGGCAAAAATTATTGTATTGTCTATAAATAGCTAAAAAACAACACAAACATTTTAAGAATTTTACCATGTCTGGAAAATGTTAATATAAATATTTGTAGGGAATTTAAAGTATCTACGGTTATTCGTTATTGTATATATTATATTATTATTATAAAGTATAAATATAGTACCTAATATAAAATTATTCTGTAAATAGGTATATATTCCCTATTGTTATTACACTTTCATAGTATTTTATGAATATAATAACATTTTTGAAGGGAGGGGGGGGGGTGTTATAATTTATTTAAGCTTATTTACCTCTTGTTGTAAAATATGACATAATAATGTTACAACTGAATGTGTACTTAAAAATGAATGTCAGATAAAAAAAAGTAGTAATAATAATGCGATGAACATAAAAATAATATTTTTCATTAACTCATGTGCCTAGGACTACGCCAGGGCGTATTGTTGGAGCAGTCTGGTGGTTCTTCACGGTGATATTAATATCATCGTACGTATCTAATTTCACCGCTTATTTGATCGTTCAGAAAATGTCCACACCAATCAGCACACCAGAAGATTTAGCTGCACAAACTGAAATTGAATATGGTGTTCTTTCTCATGGGTCTACGTGGGATTTTTTCAAAGTAAGTAGAGCACCTATAGTTGATTTACTGTTTTGAATTCTTCAATTTTTTTTTTAAATACCTTAGATATTATAAAACTATAAAAACGATTAACATAATAATAATTCTTCAATGAATCAATTGATATATTATAGCACTTATAATTTGTGCGTTATCGTTACCTTACAACATTTTTATTGACTTTATCAAACTTTAAAATGTCACGTAAAACCAAATTATATGTGTTTTATATTATTGCATCATCTTTTTCATATAATATATATTTTTGTATAACATTTTAAACTAGATAATAATATTGTTTAAAATAATTTAAAAACAATATTTTTTCACAAAATGTACACTTTTAATTATATTGCTATTATAGAAGTAAGCAACCTGGGGCCAACTTGTTTATACGTATTATTTTATCTTTCTGCACACCACACTATAGTGTATAGCTAGTGACGTGCGTTTCATTATTATTTTTATTATTCTATAAGAATTCCAAAAAAAAAAAATTATTTTTTATTCAAAAACTTTACGTCTGGCAGTGACTTTGTCATCGTCGTCGACATTTGGAATTATTCTCAATACTTGATTGCCCCCTTTAATAAGTTGTTTATCCAACGAGGTCTGCAAACGTCAACACCATTAAATTCAAACCGCCGCCAGAACTATGGAGATAAATTATTCACCGAATTCATTTTGTACTTGCTTTTTTTACTGAGTGAAAATTGAATACTTTTTCTCAATAACCTTCAATACATTTACTGTGGTATACGTCAAAAACGATAATAGAAATACAAATAAAATCCATATAAGTAGGTTCATATGGAAAAGGTGTTGAACTAATATATAATTTTCTCATTACGAGTTCAGGGTTTGAGTTCTATCGACTGTAAATCTTGGGTTGGGGTGGCCACTCCTTTACTCCTGAGAGAACTTTTCGTTTCGGGCCATTCACCACTGTAGTTTCTTATGAATGTTTTTGCTTTACATAAAAAACCCACAAAGAAGAGTAGAAAAAAAACTGGAGAGTTATCGAATCACTTACAATCAATCGACTTAACTAATTTCTAAAATGGATAAATTAATAAGTACATTTAAAAATACATCAGTTTTTTTTTCTATTATTGTAGGTAATCATATTATTATTTGATTTTTGATTTTAGCATTCAAATCATAATGCACTTATAATCCGTATTTAATCTAATATCATTACTAAATTATTATTTTATATATGTCATTAAAAAATATGTATAGGTAAATGGTAAATCAAATAATTTATTGAAATATAAACTAAAAATATAACTAATATTAACAATAGTGTTAAAGCTAGAATAGTATAGATATACTAATATGTTATAACTTATAATGAACTGTATACATCTAAAACATTTCTATAGTTGTAGTTACTCAATTGGAAAGTTAAAATAAACCATAAAATGTAATGACTAATGACTATAACCTATTATAAACGTATTACCTATATTTGTTTTATTACTACATAGAGATCGCACAGTTCGTTATACAGTAAAATGTGGCAGTTCATGAACTCGCGGACACATGTGTTTGTGGATACATACGATGAAGGCATTCAAAGAGTAAGAAACTCAAATGGCAAGTTCGCTTTACTCATCGAGTCTCCCAAAAATGACTTTGTGAACATGAGGAAACCTTGTGATACAATGAAAGTCGGACGTAACTTAGACGTCAAGGGCTACGGCATAGCGATGCCACTTGGGTCTCCGCTAAGGTGAGACTGATCTATATTTTTTATATATTATATATATATAATATTGACAAATCTCGTTTGGGGCTTTTGGGAAATAAGATCACCGACGGGATGTGAGGCACGGGTAAAGGGACGCAAGTGGGAATATTACGCGCGTCTTTCGGTTGAATGACTCTCTCGGATTACATTCCGCGAAATCACATTTTCCAAGACGAGAGTCTGATATGAAAAAAAAAGAAAAAGAAAACCCAATTTTCTGCGACACATTTTTGATCATAAGAAAAATAAATATATATATATATATATGACGTATACACATATTATTATATACACACATTATATATATATATAGAGGGACACACTCATATATTATTATATATGTATACACGTATCTATTCAATGAGATTTGTAAAAACCACTGGTTAACTGACGCCGATCTCGAAACGTTGGTTTCTATATTCTAGTTCTATATTTATTAGAATATTCATTCTAAAAACTGAAGTTTCTCTAATTTTATTTTGATGATATCAGATAAATTTAACGCAATGAGGATGTTTGCGTAATATGCTTAACCAGATTTATTTACATGCTAAGACACAATAGACTGAAATTAACGATGGAAATACTTATTATTAAAATACGATTCATTTTCGAAATGTCGTGTTATAATATGCACGTCCATAGTAATATAGTATAGATTGTTTCATGATAAAAGTATAATAATAGAAATACTCGATAGTATATTAAATTATTCACTACAATCATATACATATTATTTTTATATTACCCATCAAAAAATGTAGATAGGTACTTCAAACATATTATTGTGTACTTATTTACTTTTTAAATTAATTAAATCATGAATGGATTCTAATGGTATACCTGGATTCATAATTCATTGATCAGACGTATACAAACAAGTTATAATATATTTTTTTAAACAATGTATTTTAACAGCGATTTAATTATTTAAATGGTCAATTTGAAATATACGTGAAATAATAATCGCTTCTGTTTATTTAATAAACCGGGAGTTGAATCTAGCGGACAGAAATAAACATTTAATTAAAATTATTTATAATCCAGTCGGAGATTGTACTTATATTAGGTACCTATAATGCGTACGATAAACTGATAAATCGTTGTTGGTACAAGATTTTGTAAATTTTTTATATATAGTTTTTTCATTTTAAAATGTACCTAACTAAAAATAATTGAGTCATGAAATGATTAAAAATTGTTCAATGTTTATTTTTAACTATCTTATGCGTATAAAATATATTTTTATCCAGTGGTACCTACCTAATACAATATTTAGAGTTTATTGATAAATGTCTATAGTAAAAATTAATGATACATTCGATATATTATATTTATTTGATAAATTGTTTAAACAGTTGACGATTATGACAGAAAATTTGACTTTGTTTTACCAATTGTTTACTTGTGTTGTACATTATTTTTTTCGGTATAATAATTATTTTTTTTTGATTTGATCCCACCTCATTTTAAATTACTATTTTGTTTTTTTGTAATTTTATGGGTATCTTATTAATTTATATTTACACAAAAACTTATACAAACCAAGTATATATTATATCCCTAGGAATCAAATTAGATTCCCTAAGGATTTTCAGGACCACCCTCAAACGGTTTAATAAATCCAAATGTGCAAATTCGATCATTATTCAGTGTGATATGTATATTATATAAACACATAAACATTATATATATATATTTATATTATATATAGGAACAATACATCAAACAGTCCATGTTTGAACACTGCCGAATTCAGAAAGGCTATATACTTATCAATGTGTTTTCAATTTAAATGGCGTGGGAGTATATAACAACACTATATTAAACTCAAATTCTCTCAAAAACTCATTTGTAAAATTTAATGGATTTTGTGTTTCTTATGAGTTTTCAATATATCTCATTCATCGCAAGAGGAATCAATGCTATTTAAAAATAATAATTTACTAGAATTTTTAATTACAACATATTTTTGATCTTTAGAATATGCATCATTGATCCAAAGAAATAACTAATTTTATATGGATGTTGATATTTTACATATTATGTAGTAAAAACATGCTTTAAACATTCTCACTCAAGTATCTTTATTGAGAATTGTATAGGGGTCGTAGGGATATAGTTTTAAAAACCACACAATAGATTGATTTTAAATAAATAGTTATTATTAGCACCCTAAATTGTGGAAATGTCTTATTATTGAATTCAGTTTATACCACAGGTGAAAAAAATTAATGAAAACTCAGATTTAAATTATTTTTACAACCGGGTACTTACATGTTTTAAGCCATTCCACCCCACAAGATTTCGTTTAGTATGAAATATTAATATGTTTTAATATTATAGTCCATGCCATCTGGCTATAAATATACATTAAACAATAATTTCAAATATTCCAAAAATAGTTTGTCATGAAATAGTGTACTTATAGGCAAAAATGGCACATAACTGCCTCGTACACGATAACTACATAGGGTGGCAAGGAATTATAGATTCACAATGACATATACTAAGCTTTTATATGCTATAGTTTAATATTAATTTTATAATATAAATTAAATTATAATAATTTATCAATATTATGGTTTAAGAACTCTATAAACTGTAAAACTTGGTTGGATAAAATTCGGTTTCACCCTCTAGATATAAAAATTATATATTTTTACTTTGGGTTTTTGTTCTAGAATTTAGTAGCCGTGTGTCACACATAGATTTAAAATTAAATAATTCATTTTCACATAATGAGAGATTTCTATGAATACATTTAACACTATTTTAATAATAATAATAACATTGCTAATTAAAAGAACTGAGGGTTATTTATATTTTGTGGAGCAAGTTGGTGGCACGTTTGTAGTCGCTTGTGGTGGTGATTGAGTTTGAGTGTTAGCAAAGTTCTTCAGTTAATGAATAGAGAAGTTTAGAGCTTTCTCTAGCATGCAGGTTTTCCATGAATATGTGTGTTAATATCGAGTTGCACTCTACGTGTGGTGTATATATGGTAGGTACGCCACCGGTACCTATAACTTACCTATGTTAGGTTAGACATCAAATGTGAGAAAGTTACATGTGGTCGATGTGAAATCTAGTGGGTTAAGCTTGGTGTTTATTATTGTTGAGATTTATGATAAATACATTAATTCATTTTTGAATTCATAGAATGTAAAAAAATACAATCTAATAAAAAATACAATTCTAAATTCTTATGTACCTAGTAATATGTACGTTTTATTAGTAGGTAAACCAGGTAGGTATGACATAAACTAGTGTTAAATAATTTCAAAAGTTCGTGTCTTAGGTACATGACACATAACTTTTGACTGATAATTAAGTAATTTAAATACTTTTTTTAAACTTAGAAATCAATATATTTTATTTATTTTTGAAAATAGTTTGTTTGTTATTTTTAGTAAGTAATAAATCCTTTGTATTTTTGTTTTAATGGTTTTATATATAAACAATATTCTCGTTCAACATTGTTTTACCATCAGATCGAATCCTATAAGCGATTTATAAGGGTATCAAGAGGGTCCCCGAGGGCCATCGAAAAATGCTCTAGAGCCAAAAAAAAGGGGGGGGGACAGCGGAGAGGAATGGTGGTGCTTTGCAGTTTGATCTATATGATTGTCCTTCCGTTAATTTTATCCCCGCCCAAACGGTATTCTCTTGGGTCTATTCGAACACAACACCTATATTGAACTTATTTCTCTTTTATGCGCTTTGAGCCAATATTTTGTACATCCAAAGGCAATTTATATCTTTGTAAAAATTATTGAACTATACACAAATAAATGTATCAGTAGAAGGTCGAAAATTCAGTCTAAGTGGTTTCTACTCGCAGTGGATAAATCAATTATATTAAAGAATGATATTAAAAATATTGTTTATGAAGTAAAATATTAGACTAATAAACAAATAAATAAACATTAATTAACGTACATGTTATATAATAGTTGACAGTTATTATTAATATAATTATTATACATTAATAACATTATATTTATTATCGATAATAGTTAATGGTATTTTTGTTCCATCATAATTATGTTATTTATAATTAATTTTTTTAGGTTTAACATAGGTAGGGCATACGGACGCTTGCTATCATAACTCCAAAATATTTCTATCTACGCCTGTTAGGCTATCTATAATTATACGATGTTTATTCCTAATATACTCAAAACTTCCATGGCTCGGTCCGAGTCTTTGCCTTGGACGGCCAGGAAGTCTTTTTTATATTTAAATTTTATATTATTTATTATTTATAAAATAATTATTAATATACTTAAAATATAATATACTAATATATATTAATATAGTGCATTTGTTGTTGTTACCGTTTAGGAATCGAATAAATGCTGCAATTGTTCAATTGACAGATAGCGGTGAACTTACAAGGCTAGAAAACAAATGGTGGGTTGATGAGTGCGGTTACGAGGCAAAGGTGAGATATAAAGAACGATACTTTAAATTGTTTTTACAAATTTATCTTTTCAATAAGTTATTTATTTTTTCGATTAATTTTTATTTAGAACTATAACATTATTGTACCTATATGTTATGTGACCAATATTAGGTATTAAATATTTAAAAATTAGCATTGGTTAAAAAAAAATATTTGCAAGAGATTCATAAATTATAGAATGATTAAAAATAAGATAAAACTGTTTATTTAATAAATTATTGTGGTAATTCCGTTGAACGATTTAATTGTTTTTGACGGATATTTACAAAATTATGCACAATTTTCGTTGTTTATATATAACTTCTTTACACGGGAAGTGTCATCGGTTGTTAATTTTTAAACTCTTATTTTTTCCCCTACATTTGTAAGTTTAACAAATGACTCTCAAAAAAATAGGGTACATTGAGAAATTACTCAAATTATATAATGCGATGTTGACTGAATGTTAGCTAAATTTACTTCAGTGATTCGAAAATATATATGTTTGTTTAGTAATGTAATGATCGAAATCTCAATTTTGGGGAAAGAAATAATGTATAAATAAAACAATCCGAAAGTCATTTATTTTTTCAAAAGAAAAATACATGGAGGGTTGGCCACTTAAAGACCGTTTTGAACAAAAACGGTAGTTGAATTTTTAAAACTTTACTTTCAGTCCATTTGCTTGTTCGCAGTTTTACATTACTAGCAAACCCGCAAACGAAAAAAAAAAAAAGAGAAAAAAAATAGGTTATAGCAGCAATTTATGTCCTTTTTATTTTGAACTTGGTGCAGGAGTGCGATGGTAAACTTTTTTCGCTTCTCTCTGTCCTTGTCGTACGCCATAAAACACGAAATATCACTGAATTTTATTAAAAAAAAGTCAAAAATTGCCAACGTTCTACATACCGCACGTCTTAATTCCCGCAGGAGTCTTTCCGCAATGCCGAGCTGACGTTAAACAACATTGCTGGTATATTTTACATACTAGTACTGGGACTCATCGTGGCCATCGCCGTGGCATTGTTCCAGTTCTGCTACCGGACGCATTCGGATCAAGCCAACTCAAAAGTAATACGATCATGATAATATATTTTTTTACACGTTTATAATATTGTTATATTTTATAAATAATGCAATATTGTTAGTGCGTGCATAATTTTACCTCGAGTATCAGCGGTCGAGTGCTCTCAAATTCTAATGGTATAATATGTGCTCACTTTAGGCGTCGTTTTCGGGTGTGTGGGTGTTTTTGACGTTTTCAGATATAATATTATGGCCATGAATGAAAATGTGATTTTTAATGGTAGGCAATAATTCTTTCGATTGTACCGGTTACAATAAAATGATTTTAGTTTTAAAAGGTAGCTGCTGTAGTATATAAAAACCAAATTGTTCAGCATTAATGAAATACTCAATATTATTATACATAATATACAGTTTATTATACAAGTTAACTCTCACGGGAAACCGGATGTTTAATAAATTAATGGAATACAATTTAGTTATCAAGATTTGAGTGCGATGAGTTGGCTCATAACAATAAACGCTAACTTGATTTTTTGTAAATCGACATTTTATAATTTTAAACATATAGTTTTGGGTAAAATACTAATTTACTAGACAATTTTTTAGATTATTTGTTTATTTTTTATTTACCATATCTTGTTAAATTCATATTACAATGTACAGTAGCAAAAACATAGTTTACAAATCATAATTTAATTTGTTCATGTCAACCTAAAAACCTAAGTAGGTAATTAAAATTGTCATTTACGTTACCTACTAATTTGATTTAAATACGCCAATATCTATTTTGATAAAAATTAGATAATATATTGTTTTGAAGGTACGCAATAACTGAGATCTTCTCTTAAATTATCTTTTTATCGACTTGTCGTTATTCGTTGCATTTCACTGTTAAATACCTATAGCGTCTTTTATAGATATGATTATTTTATAACATCGTAACAATGTAATAATGTTATATAGAATAATAATATATTATATTAGGGAATGTGCGCACTACATACTATGCAATTAATCGATTTATATCATTGGCTACTAATAATATGATAATGGAAACTTTATAATTTAATGATGACGTTTATACTATCAATAACTAGGTATTTAACTATATAACTAGTATTATAAAATAAGTATACTTTTTAATTAAATCATTACGAATTAGTGTAATCATTTATTGATATGAAAAATAAATTTTAAATAAATAATATAGTAAACATTTTTAGATTTTATATATTTTTGAAATCCATAGCTTTAAAATAAGCTACTTTTTGTTAGAAAAATTAAATCTATTCATAAGATATTTTTCAAATAGATTTTCTGTCTGTCGTATGTTCATTTTGTAATACGATAATACATTTTAACTTGTATATACTATATATAAACTTCAAAAGGATAAAGATAGTTGGTTAGTATTGCCTAGAGCATTTACCAAAAGTTTACGGTGTTTAGTATTATAGTTCTAGGTAAGTCTTTTAAAGTTTTATAAGATGTTTATAGGAGTTTTAAAAATAACTACAAAGACTATAAAGAGTAAATACACTGAATAATATAATTATCATTATATTGAGTTCGCTATTTTAAAACGTACCTATACAAAACAAATGTTGTAAGTACACTGGCCACATTATTTGAACATTGAACATTAAATTGTTTTTATAAAAGTAGTATTTTTAGAATCACCTACCAATATATTACTTAATGTACCTATGTATAATTTTACGGCATTTACGTATGCTTGAATAAATATTCTGTAAAATAACACAAAATAAATTATCAATCAGTTTCAAATAGATCTCTGTGATTATAGAAATTGAGAGCAGCTTAACTTCATAATCTATGAAGACTACATTTTTTCAATTTTCTAAGTAGTTTCTAGAACTGTTAGAAAAATTACCGACAACATGTGAAAAATGTTGAGGAAACTCATCAAGCGTAGTTTTCAGTACCATTCAACAATAAATCATTGCTTTCAAAGATTTTTAATCAGCTTTTAAAGTGTAAAAGTGAAAAATATTGATATGTACTTTATATATTATATTACCTATCAAAAATAAAAAGTACATTGTATGTTCATTACTTAAAAACATTTCAAAGAATATTATTGATTTAATACAATGTTTAATACAATTGTCTTTTAAATTAAAATACTAAACAGTTCTAAAAGTTTAAATTTGTCATTTGAATCAATAAAAAACATTGTGTCTAATGGTTAACTATAATCAGTTTAATACAGATAAGATGAAAATGAAACATAAGAAATATTACCAAACCTAAAAATTGGTGTTATTTGTACATGTAGATTAACACAACATCGCATATGTTGCAGTATACAAGTATTCAATGTTTCCAGTAATATACTATACTAACATATTATTTCCAAACAAAGATTTTGTGACAGTTATAATTTACACACTAACCAACATACATGCATCGTTGTACCTACTTTTAATGCAAACAATGTAATAATATGCCGACGAATATCATATGAGACATTTAAAACAAATTGTTTACATTATTTTAATTAATAAATGTCTTACCTCAACCACTTTAATTATATGCAAATTAGATGTTGCACTTACGAACAGAAAACATTGTTGTTTGCGTTATTATTACTGTTTATTTCACTCACTAAAACCATGCTTCCAATTGAATCAATTAAAGTTTAATGAGTTGGTGTCAACTAAATTTTGTTCCGATGGTCACAATATACATCAATAAATATATTTTGATAGCCCCAATGATAAACACGTGTATATTAACTTAATTTCATGCGTTAGGTACTATAATAATTGTTGTCTAAGAAATCAAAATTAATTTTCATACTATAGCCCAATACGTGACATTTGTATTTACCTAGCTATGTCAACAACGATGATTATAAGACAAACATTTTGTGAATTTTATACTGATATATTGTAGTAAGTAATGTTTATTTATTTCATTATGTGTTTTATATCCAATATTTTAATTATGGAAAATAAATATATAAATTTAATTACTCGAAGGATTCATCATCATCAAATTGCTATTTTCTTCACGAAATTTAAAACGGTCTTGAATAATAAAAAGTGAAATTATTAGAGAGTAGATGCATACTTTCAAATATATTATTTTTAATAAC